AAGGAACCAAGATACTCATGTAAAGGTACAAGATCCCAATGATGAATGTAACTGTATTTTATACATAAAATGTACCAATAAACTTAATGGGAAAAAAATGTCAACAGTATAAAGGAAAAAAAACTATATAATCTTTTCAATAACTGGCACAAAGAAGTTCTTGTCAAAATTCAACATCTAATTCATGATAAAAGATTCCAACAAACTAGGAATTGAAGTAAATCTTGTCAATGTGATAAAGACCATCCCATACCAGTGGAGGCAAACCTTTGGCACGGGTGTCACAGCCAGCTGTTTGTTATCACTGAAAGCTCTCAAAGGTCACCGTCACTGACACAAACTCTACAGTTAACATCGTACTTGGTAGAGAAGCACTGCAACTTTTTCCTCCAACATGGAGATAAGGCAGGATAACCTTTCTTACTGCTATATTTTTATTCAACATTGCTCTGAATTCCTTACCAGCTGTTTAAGTCAGGAAACAAAAAAAAAGGCATGGCAATTGTCAAAGAAAAAATCAAATTGTTTTCTTATAGGTCTTACAATTATGTATGTAGAAAACCTTATGTAATTTATCAATCAATAGATAAACAAATAAAATTTATATATATTTTTATCTAGATCAAAACAATTTGAAATCCATATACAAATATCAATTGTTTCTCATATTCACGATAAAGAACTAGAGAGCAAAATGAAATTAAAATTAATCCAAAAATTGAAACAATACCCAAATATCAGAAAGATACAGCAAATAATGTATAAACCCTCTACCCTAAAAATTACAAACAATGCTGAGATAAACTAAAAAGGACCAAAACAAACAGAAGAGGGTATCATGTTCATGAATTGGTAGACTAGAGATATTGTTAAAACATCAATTCTCCTCAAATTAATCTATAAACTCAACTGTAATTTCATCATAATACGACAAGTTGAATGTAAAATATACATAGAAATGCAAAGGGAAAATAAGAGCAAAGGAATCCTTTAAAAAGAACGAAGAAGTTGAAGGAGTTACCCTCTACAATTTTAAGATTTATTGTAAGGTGATAAACATAAAGATAGTATGATATATGCCAAAGGACAATGGAATTGTTAGTCCAGATATAGAATGACTTACAATGTGGTCAGTAGATTTTTCACAAAAATGGCAGGGTAATATAATTTGAAAAGAGTAACATCCCAGCAAATGGTCCTGGGACAGCTGGATATCCATTTGTACAAAAAACGAAGCTCATCTGGGCTCAGTGGCACATGCCTGTACTCCCAGCACAGGGAAGTTGAGGCAGGAAAATGGCAATTCCAAACCCAGCCTGGGCAATATAATGACATAGCAAGATCCTATCTCAAAATCTTAAAAAAATATATAGAAGGTCTGGAGATGCAGGTCAGTGCAAATTCCCTGGGTTCAACTTCCAGACTTACCTACATTCACACACACACAATGTGTCTTGACCTTAACCTAACATCATAACAAAAATTAATTTCAACTGATCATGAACCTCAACATAAAATCTAAAATATTAAATCTCTGTGAGAAAATCTTTGTGTTGCTGCATCAGCAAAGATTTCTTAGGATTGAAAGCATATAAATACAGACATATAAATATGATCCAGAAATTTTATGAAAGCACCAGTCTACACAAAGTCCTGTATATAAATGTTCATAACAGTTTGTTCATAACACCAAAAATCTAGGAACCACTCAAATCTTCAATAAAAAGAGAATGGATAACAAACTGTGGCAAGTTACTATAAAGGAATACCACTGAGCAATAGATCTTGTCATACTTATAAAAATATGGATGATCCTAAAACTACTATGTTCAACAAAAGAAACCACATGCAAAAACTTCATACTATATTGATTACATTTATACAAACCACAAAAAGATAAAACTAATTTGTGATGATAGAACTTAGACAGTAGCTACTTTGTTGAGACCACAAGGAAATTTTCTGGAATAAAGAATATGGTGGACATATAGTTCTGGTTGGAAATTCCTTTTGTGCATAACTGTCAAAACTCATCAAACTCAACATTTAAGATCTGTGCATTCTACCATACATAAATTATACTTTAATACACTTGATCTTAGCCAAAAGGCCAAGAAGTGATCAATTATACTTTAATATAAAAATATAATCAAACAATCAGTCAGCTTTGCATGCATATTCTACGTGAGACAACAGAACTATTTTATTAAATTGTGCTTTATGGTCTACAAGCCTTTTATTGTTTATTTCCTGCACAGTGGAGATGCAGTCTACAAGTCTTTGAGACAAGGATGTTTTGGGTGTCCTGTGTGTACCTAACAGCATCTGTTCATAAATGTACAGTGGACCCTTGACTTAGGAACTTGATCAGTTCCTAACTCAAGTTGCTCAGTACAGCTGAGATCTGGATGTTTACCTGTGTACATGCCATAGATGACAAGAGGCACATGAATCTTCCATTAACCTAATTAACCCAAGTTGTTTGTATGTCAGGCCGGTCATAACTTGAGGGTCCACTGTATACCACTAGCGAGGTATGGTGGCATATGCCTGTAAGCCTAGCACTCTGAGAAGCTAAGGCAGGAGGATAATAATTTCAAGTGCAGTCTGGGAAATTCAGAAAGTCCCTGCTCTAAACAAAAATTTTTAAAAGGGCTGAGGAAGTCTTTCAGTATAAAGGTCCTGAGTTCAATCCCTAGTACCAAAGGGGTATCATCACACATCTATAAAGCTAGCTGCAAAGTGAACAAAAAGTTGTATTATGGTTATATTATTTTTATCAAGTGGATACTTAATTTTACTTGCAGCAAATATAAGGATCCAGTAACTACTAAAATCAGAACCTTGCATGTAACACTGAACCAATGGGAAGACACAGAAGTTGCTGAATCTCAGTTTTCTTACCTGTAAAATGAGCATAATTCAAATACTGTCTCATAGAGTTACTCTGAGCACTGACCAACAATTGCAAAGGTCTTACACAAACTTGTGGCACTTGAACAATATATATGAAGGACTCTCTAAATATTGTTATTTTATTTTATTATTATTAAGATCTCAATTTATTTTTATGCGGATACCACACTGAAAATATTAGTCATCT